AAATCTGTCAGGGCTGGGAGTCTGGTTCAGACATGAGCTGCTCGGGGGAAAGCTGCGGAGGTACTGTCTGGGGATGCAGAGATGGGAGAAACCCCTGTGCCATGAGATGAAATGAGGGAGAGGTGAGGTGAGACCTGTGGGATGTTTCGGTAGCATCCTTGTTGGAGCCAGTTTAGTACATGGAGTGAGTCCCTACTAGGGAAACTGGGGCACAGGGCTTTCCCCGCTTTGGGGTCTTGTGGGTGCATTAGCCCCTCTCTAGCCACAGGTCAAGGCTTTACCTGCAGCAGGGACTCGGCTGTGGGGACTCCTTGGTGTCCTGTGGCATAGAGGAGCTCCAGTGTGAATCAGGATTGATGTATGGTGATCCCACATGAGCAGAGACCTGGCTGCATAATGGATGTGTGGCTGGGAACTGTTCCCCGGGCTGGTGGAGCAGTGATGTAAAATCAGCCTTAAACCTCCCATGACCCATCGTGACCCTCTGCTCACATATGGGAAACCCCAGTGTGGGAGCAGGGGATGTAGGGGCAGGGTCTTCCACGTGCGTGTGTGTATGTGGCTTGACTTTGTTGAGCTTCAGTCCCTACGTCTAGAGGGAAGTGAACTGAGCACGGCTCAACCTGAGCCAAAGGAGGATTTGGCAGCAGAACGTGGTATTTTGGTAACCATCACCATGCAGGCTGAATAGCTTGCTGTGGTTCCTGCTGCCATAGGATTGGGTTTGGTGCAGGAGAGCATCTGACTTCTGTTAGCCCCTGGTTCAAGCCTTGGTCAAAGTGCCCAAGGCAGTGGGATGAGTCACACTGTGTTGGGAAGCCCATGGGGACATCCTTGTCCTCACAGCCTGTTGCAAATGTGGAGAGGTGCAAGGAACTGGCTCAAACAAGCTGTGTCAGTGGGTGGGTCACATGTCAAGGGACATGTGAGGGGACTTGACTGCATGTGAGGCCAGGAGATGTCTAGGGGTGATCTGACCAACGTTGGCCAGTTTGATGGTCCAGCAAGGAGGCTGTGGGGTCTCTCCCATCTCCCCTCAGGTCTCTCACTGGATCTAGAGCAGATCATGAAGACATGGGATAGCATCCTGTTGATGGCTGGTGTATGAAGCTGTTGAGATAATGCCTCCCAAAGAGGCATTAGGGCCATTCTTATGGTGTGACAGATATGTCAGCGGTCACCAAAGGAAGTGCAGGAAGGGTTTTTCCATGACATTCAGTTTGTCACCATGGATTGATGTCTTTAGACCATCTCACGAAGATGCTGCTCCAGTGGGTTCATAGAGTGTCTCAGGGGCTCTGTGATAGCCTCTTCTGAAGTTTCAATCTCTTGGTAGCTGGAAAGCTTCCTGAAATACCTATCCCAAATGTACCAGGTTTTGCCCCAAACTGATTGCTGCTTATCCCTGCCATGGCCAGAGTTCACCCTTTTCTTTGTAACAGCTCTCTCTTGCCTCATCCTCCCCCTTGTACTTTCCATCTCATATTGCATAACCTCCTTGCTGTCCAGGATGCAATTAGTGATAATTAATGATAGTTAATGATAATTAAAGTAAACCAGGGCCTGGGCACAACCTTAAGCGTTGACCAGGGGTGTCCAGACTCTTGCTGCGGGTGCATTCCCCAGCATGGTGTTGGCTGGAACTCTCCTCTTTCCACTTCTGCTCCTGCTTCCAGGTCCCATAGGGCCACCTCCAAGCGTGGAGCCTCTGGCTTGCAATCAGCAAGCTCTGGTTATGTCTCCAAGGTGACATGGACCAGGCTGGCCTGCTGTCTTCTCCTGCCCAGGGATCGCATGGTCCTCGGGAAGGAAAACAAGGTGATGGCTTCATCTGAATATTTGGTACTGCAGCCTTGAAAATGCTCCGCAGCTCAGGAGCCCTCTGGAAAACGAGAAGTAAAACAACATGACTTTTGTGAGCACGCTGTTGCTGAAGGCGCAATAAATAAGGAGACTGAGCGGCACGGGAGCAATTTACTGCCACAAATGGCTTTTCACTGCGAGTGAATTGGGAAGATATCCAAAGTTTGACCTCTGAAAATGAAATTATTAGCCTGGCATGGGAAAAAATGATCCAGAGCCTCCAGCTTTTAAGCCTGCTCCTTCCATCCATCCCCAGCTTGCTTTTAACCAAACATGCCGGCGTGTCTTGCCAAATACGTGGCATAGTGCTACTGAGATGCGGACAAGTGTCTGCCGCTACCCAGCGCTGCCAGTCGGCTTTAATTTTACCAGCAGGCCCTTTGCAGACATGAATCAGGCTGCTTTCGAGGGCTGGACCCGAACCAGGGCTCCACTTGTGATTAAACGTTTGAACGAAGCAGCCAACTGGCATGGGAGCCTGCAAGCTGAGCAGGGCCGCGTAACATGAAGGCAACTTGATTTCTTCACCCTCAGCGTAATTCATGAAGATGCTGCAAGCAGGGAAAAATGAAGTCATTTTCTCACTCTTTTGCAAAATGATAGGTTTTGGGGTTTTGTTTTGGTTTGGTTTTTTTAAGTGTTGTGGATTTTCTTTCTCCTTTCTCCCTGGTTTCTGCAGTTTCCAGCCACATACTCCCCGTTGTTGTGTGGTTTGCTGTAAGCTCGTGCTGTGCATGGCCGGGAGTATGGGTTTGCTGACTTGTCAAGAGGTTTGGAGCAAGCTATGCAGATGATGTAAAGACCCGAGTAGGGAAAAGAAAGGAAAATGGTTCTGTCTGTCCCTCTGATGGCATCCACCCCAAAATCATTGCGAATCTCCATCTCTGGAGATGCAACACCACTGTGCTTGGACTAGGTGGTCTGGACAGCTACTGGCCACCTCCTTTGAAGGTACTGCTTGGAGAATCACATGCTTGAAGCCATCAACTCAATGATGTGGCCCTTCCTGATGGCCACAGGGACCGGCCATGATAGAGCATCACTTGGGTTCATCCAGAGGATGGTCAGAAGCTGGAGGAGGCATGGCAGCTCACCACAGCATATTCATTTGAGTTTTGCCTGGTTGGTGGTAGAAACACATTAGGCAGATGGCATCTTCAGCTTTGGCAAGGTGGGACAACGCTGACCAGGCTCTCTAGAACACTGCTTTGCCCCAGATAACAGAGTGGAGTATGGGATGGCTTTTAGCATCATTGAGGTGGTGGATGCCACTGAGCTCTTTTTGGACACCCTCTGCTATTCATCGAGGAGTCCTTCCAGCAGCATAGCAGGGTCAGCACCTGCTAGCTTGCCTGACTTCATGGAGCAGGAGCTGGGCACCACGCCTCAGAAAACAGTCCTCTCCCCTCTCCACGTGTCCCCAGGGCACCGCAAGCTTTTAAAACACCCATAAATGCTTCAGGGAGCGTAAATGTCTCCGCTGCCTTCAAGCAACGTAATCACCCAAACTACCTCAAATCCCCTCGATGACATAACCTTTTAAATCACCTTCAGTTTTTAGTGGGGCTGTAAGCACTGAAACCACTAATAACACACACAGGCAGGTGTGTGCTTATTCACGAAAGAGCTTGAGTGCCGGTGCGTCCCTCTGGCTGGTCAAGGCTTGGGGACATGCCACGGGAGAGCAGGAGCAGCTGCCAGGCTGCGGTGGGAGTTATGGAGTCCAGGTTCCTGCAGGTCCAGCCAGGGTCAGAGCTCGGTCCTGTAGGACCAGGCGATGCCTTTTGATGTGAACATTAAGGATGACTGAATTGGGCTTTCTAGCCAAAGCCCTGTGGTTTTTTTGGTGGTGATTATGGCTGTGGTTTGTCCCACAAGTCCTGCTGCAGGCTGGCTTCATCCTGCCAAAGGGTTGGTGTGTAACCAAGGGCTTGGAGGTGGAAAGAGTTGATAGGCACCTGCTAAAATCTGAGGAGAGGGGAGATCTCTGAAGGGGATCTTATGCACCAGTTGTGCTGGGCACCATCTCATCCCTCTCCCTGTGCCATGGCAAGGTTAAACCCATGCCAGTGTAGGCAAGGCTGGATCGTTTCTGGGACAAACACCTCTGATTCAGGAGCACGGCTGGAAACTGGCTTTTCTCAGGATGATAGAATCAGGGAGGAATAGAAAAATACATGGTTTTGTGCTTTTGGGGGGCAAAAAGTAGACAAAGTGGACTTGCTGTGCCCATGGACGGCCCCATAAATGAAAAGGATGGTTCAATCCACTCCAGCCACACCAGTGCTGCATCGAGCCTGGTAAAGCCAAGAGGCTAAGCCTGGTAGGATAGGGTTGTTTTGTTTGGAAAAGACCTTTAAGATCATCAAGTCCGAATGACGGGGCAAGCCAGCACAGTCCTGCTGCTTAGGACTGGATGGGGCTTTGAGCAACTTGGTCTATTGGAGGGTGTCCCTGCCCATGGCAGGGGGGTTGGAACTAGATGATCTTTGAGGTCCCTTCCAACCCAAACCATTCTATGATGCTATAGTTCTATGACTGATGCTTGGCTGCCCGTGTCATGGTAGCGCTTGTCCAGGGATCCTTGACAGAATGAGCTGAAGCTTTTAAGGGGAGCAAAAGGTTTTCCTTCAGAATGTGTTTCTACCCCAAAATGTCTTTTTTTTCTTCTTCTTTTTTGGGTAACAGTGAAAATGTCTCCTAAATTCAGGCTCTGCTATCTCCCCCACCACTCACAGCCCTGCTGGGGAAAATTCAGTCCCATAGCATCACCCTGAAATCACTTGTCCATCTTCAAACAGTATTTCTACTGACATATTTTAGAGAGACAACTCTAATTTATACCTCAAAAACACCCATTCTGTTCCTCGCCTGCACTGTGAATTGAGCTTGCTCAGAGGAGTTGCTGGTTGGTCAGATGGGTCCCAGGCTAAAAAAATCCAAATTGTGGCAAAAAAAAAGGCTTTGGGGGACTATATTCAGTTAGGAGTTTGGTGGATGGGATGTGGTCCTCAGCTGCTCTTGGGGGGACGGCAGGAAGGTGCTGAGCTGTCCCTCCTTTTGTCATCACAAAGGGAGGAGACTTCTCCCAAGGACTGTCCCTTTCTCTCACGTAGCTTCTCCTGGTTGACTTTCAGGGCCGGATATGTTCTGTGACTTCAATGGCAAGAAGTACAGCCCGGGTGAGAGCTGGCACCCCTACCTGGAGCCGCAGGGGCTGATGTACTGCATCCGCTGCAGCTGCTCCGAGGCATGTCCCCCACGCGGTGCCGCGGGAGGTGGTGGGGATGCTGCTGCATTGGGCAATTGCTTTGGGAGCTTTTAGGCAGATTGGTTCTGCTGTCTAATTTGACCAGGGAAGCTTTTTCCAGTCCCGTAGGGACATTGGGTTAATCTCTTTCCTTTTGAAAAAGCCCCCTGTCCCTCTGGGGGTGTTGGGTTGACCTTGTGAGTGAGCTGTCTCAGTAACGTTGGTGGGCTGTGGGTGGAAGTGGCTCAGGGCTGCTGTGGGACCACAGGTGACCTTTGATGATGAGAGATGAGACAATGAGCTGGCTGACAGCCATGTCCGAGCCAGGGATGGAGACATTCTTGACTGGGTGAGCTACACCAGCACAATCTATTGTGATAATGGGGCCATCATCCAACGTCTTCCTCCTCTTGCAGCGGTGAACATGTAGCTGAATGAACCATCTTTCTCTCCCCAGAACGCCAACATCAGGTGCTACCGGATCCAGTGCCCAGCTCTGCAGTGTGCCAGCCCCATCACGGACCCCCAGCAGTGCTGCCCACGGTGTCTCGGTAGGTGGACATCCCGTGGGGAGGGGGTGACTGGGTGGCTGTGGTCCTGCAGGGTGTACCTCAACTGCAGTCACTTGAATGGTCACGTCTGGGACAGCACAGTGATGCTGGGTCTGGCCGTGTTCATGGGGTCATGGCAGCAATGGCAGCTTGGGCTGCTTGCATTGCTTTTTCCCCCCAAAAATGTCATTTTGATGGAAAAGGGCTCTCTACCAGATCACTTTCTCCAACTCCTCCCCATCCCAAGAAACCTTGTAGGGACAAAATGTCAGTTCACAGTTCAGGGACAAATCAGAAGCTGGCACTTTATTCAGATCATTTGCTAGCAAATGTGTTGGATGCAGGAAAATCAAAAAACATTTCTGAAGTTTTTTAACAAAATGATTAAATTTTTCCCTCTCCTGGATGTGATGACCTCCAACATCTGGAGTCAGATCAAAAGAGTTTCTCCCATGGGTAATTGGCTAAAAATTAAAAATACTTTTTTTTCTAATTTTTATTTCCTAATTTCTCAAATTGTCCATGGTTTTTGACTAGCTTTGACACCAGTCTGGCATGGTGGGGGACAAGACCCCAGGAGGTCAGACTTCCAGTTTTACCTTTGTGCTGACCTCAGCATGGTCAGGGCAGCCCCATTCTCCAAAAGCTTTTAGGCATGTAAATTCCCACAGGCCACGCAATGCCCTGGCCACTTCTTCGTGATAACTGCAGCATGTAAAGATCTTGTCCTTTTGGGTTGGGCTGGTGGGGAATCTGCTGAGCATCTGTGCTACACTGGGGCCAGGGAAGGGCTGGCTCTCATCCTGTTGCTTTCTCATCTTTTCCAGAGCCACATTCCCCTTCTGGCCTCCGGGCACCTGTCAAGACCTGCCAGTACAACGGGACGACGTACCAGCAAGGCGAGATGTTCACCACCAGTGAGCTCTTTCCCAGCCGCCAGCCAAACCAGTGTGTGCAGTGCAGCTGCTCTGTAAGCTACCTGAGAGCCCGTGAGGGGTGGGGAGGGCTCGGGGTCTGCTTCTGCACCCCAACTGTGTCCCACCAGGTCAAAAAACAGCCCATGGTGGGATAGTTTATCATCAGGATTAGGTTATCAGTGTGGGAGACTGAGTTTCCTCTGAGCTTCCTCTGAAATGGTGCTGGGTCCTTCCTGCCCAGTGACTAAGGACGACTGCAGAGCTGGGTGCTTCCTTCTCTGCCTGGGTGCATTGTCTGGCCTCAACCCAGAGCAGGGTGTGCTGCAAATGTCCGTTGGGCCCCAGAGTTGGAGCACAAAGCACTCACCTGCATCTCCTCCCCAGTGGGATCAGCATGAACAAGCTGCTCTGAGGGTGGGTTATTCGCTGGAGATCCCACAGGGTAGTTCTAGGTGGATGCTGCTGGGGCTCCTTGGGGTGGGCACACCAATGGGTGCATTTGCCTGCTGTGAGGACCACTACCCTGGGGCTGTCCCCGCAGCATCCAGCAATCCCACCTGCCACACTGAGGCATCATACAGCATACAGCTGTCAGAGAGGACAACCAGGAACCTTTCCCCGTACATGCTTGCTGCAAAGTAGATGAGAGGTCTGGGGGAGGTCAGCCTACCTGCAAGGCAACATGGACACAATCTGCCAGCTCTTGGGCTTCAGAGGTTCTTGGGACATTGAGCCCAGCGTCGAGCTGGTGGGACTGAGCTGAGCTGCAGAAAGGATTTGAGCCCTGCATGGCTGGAGCTCACCACTGATGCAGCTGGGAGATGACGGCAGAGACATGGGGGCATTTGCAGCAGAGCCTGGCCATCAGGGATGGCAATGGGCAGGCACCTGGTGATCTTCTTCCTCCTTGACTGGATTTAAGTGGAAGCTGAACCCAGGGCTGAGCCCAGGTGGCCGGGCTGCACCAGGAGCCGATCTCATCTGGAAACTCCTGCAGTGTGTTCACCAGCCCTCCGGGCCATCATGTTTGGAGCTGTGCCCTGGAGAAGGGCTGTGCATGTGCTTTCCAGGCTGCCTACAATAACCATTTGCAGGAAGCATCTGCCTTTCATGCTGAGTTGCAATGACCTTTGCAGGACCATTGCTTGCCCATCTTGATGGTCCTGGTTGCCCTACATGAGGTCTGCGACGGTGGCCAGAATTCTGTGTGGTCCTCAGCATGCATTCCTGTGATGGATGCCCATCCACCACCTATTTGCCAGCACCAGAGGGATGTTCCTCCTCCCCGAGCCTCCAGCAATGCCCTGAGTCAGGTCTTGGCTCCACTCTACCCAGCCCTCTTGCGCAGGCTGGGATCCTGCAAAACCCGTCAAAAACCGAGTCCTGATACTTCGCTCAGGAGGCACGAGGCAGCCTGGCCAGCGGCAACGGGGAAGGTGTGCGGAGTGTGGGGCCATGCGTGCCAGGAGCTGAGTGTCAGGAGATAAACGGAGCAGCTCCTCCTCCTCGAGAGGGAGAAAGGAAAGGGGGTAGAAAGTGCTGATGCTGGACTTGGGCGCTGTGGGGAACTGCTCATACTGGCTGCAGCCTCTGCCATAAAAAAGAAGAGGGTTGCGGACGTGGCTTTCATTGCGCAATACAGAGCCCTTGGATGAGACCAGGCTCCACTGGTCTGTGCTTTGCTTGCAGCAAATAGTTGAACTAAGCTTGGCCAGGAAAGAAAAAGGGGTGAGAGTGCCCAAACCACCTCTCTCTCTCATGCTAAGAGCACGCACACGGTAGTTACCGTCAGCTGATGCTTGATAGTAAAGTGATACCAGGATAGCTGGTCTGAGCCTTTGGTGCTTGTGCACACCACAGAGCTAGGTGGCTTGGAGCTAGGTGGCGAGGGGAATAGCTTAGGCGTAGAAATTATTCCATTTTGAGGCTGGTTCCTCTCTGTCAGGCCCCAAATGGATGCCAGCCCACCAGGCTGGGGACGAACACCAGGAAGGAGCCCTTGAACCCAACTGTACGTGCCCACCTGGCCCTGCTTTCCCACCCCAGGAGTCTGCAGACCTACGTGTCCCTCTCAGAGACACTGGCTCTCACTCAGGCTCTGTTTATTCGGCAGGATAATGCCTTGGATACGAGGTGGGGAAATAAAAGGATGGTTGTGGAGCCTTGCAGTGGCAGGGTCTCGCCGGGCTGTGTCTGATGTCAGCTGCTAGAACAGCTGCGTGAACAGCTGGTCTAAACCTCTTTGAAAACTGCCCTGAGACCAGAGCCTCTGGGATAAATCCTGCTTTTTATGATATTGGCTCTTTCCTGCCCCAGGCAGGTCTTTGCCATGAGCTGCCGGTCAGAAGTAGAAAGAAGGAAGAGGCTCTGTGGCCAAATCCCACTCCCTGCAGGTCTGGACCCCATGGAGGTCCCTGAAGCAGAGAGTAGGGTTTGGTTTGCAGCAGCCTCCACCAGATTCTCTCATTTACCAAACTTTCTTCCCGTTCTTCACATCCCCCAGCGGCTTGGCTTCCTGATGGTAGATGTTGCTGTGGTTTGGTTTTCTAAGGAAATCCTTGGTTAACCTCTTGGTTTTGGTTGACTGGAGAGCTTGAGGATACCCCAAAGAAAATTGCTGCATGGAGAAGAGGACCTAGCTGCTGCTGAACATCCTTTTTTTACCCTTCTGCAAAGCAGCAAAAACATAGCCCTGCAGCAAACAAGTGCAAATCCATTGACTGAAGGGACTGGGATGCACCAAGGTCAAGACTGGTCTTGAGCTGTGATTTTCAGCCTGAATCACCACAGCAGTGGTGTTTTCCAAACTTAATCACCAAGCCAGTGGAAGAAAGTGTATACCTGAACGTCCACTCGCAGCTCTTGACCCAGTGTCTTTGTGTGCTTGGCTCCGGTGTTACCGAATAACCGAGACAGAGGGAGGGCAGAGCTGTGGCAGAACCTGAGTCTGGGTTCAGCATCATGCTTCCCCTTTCCACTTGTCTCCTCCAGGTCCTTGTCCTGGGAAATGTCAGAGAAGAGGTTCTTGTGCCACTTCGAATTGGTGGGTGTTAGGCAGAGTTTACAGGTGTGTGGTGGCTATTTCAGATCTAATGATGCCTGAGAGGAAGGCACTGCCTCCCTCTTTTTGAGGAAGACCACTCCACTCAAGACCATGTGGACTGGCAATCAGTGGACCAGCCATGCCAGGAGAGGACACCACCCACCATGTTATACCCCACAGGATGGAGAGAGCAGTGGGACAGATTTTTGGCTTTCATAAGTTGTTAGATGATTGGTGATATCTGAGGATGGACTACTGGTGGGCTTTTGATTTATGCTAGATCTGGAATTTGAAGTGCTGGCACCCCAACACAGGTGACATATGCCCCTGTCCAGACCTTGATAATGCTGACAATGCTTTTTTTTCGCTCCTGTCTCCTAGGAAGGCCAGATTTACTGCGGCTTGGCGACCTGCCCGGAGCTGTTGTGCTCCTCTGCCGGATTCCTGCGGCCAGGTCTGCAAAGGTAATGAGAGGCCCAGGAGCTACTCCTGAGCGAGGGCTGAGAGACCCCAGCTGGTTGCCACCAGCTGGCAGGAGCCATTTCAAGCCACTTTAGCAGGATTTTGGAAGCCTGTATTGTAAATCAGGCCACTCGCTCTGTCTGGATCCTACCAGAAAACAAAAGACAAGAGCTCAGTTTTTTTCTTGCATGCTTCCCCTCCCACACCTAGTTGTGTCCTGCCTCCCTCTGCCCTGCTGGCCAGAGCTGAGCTCTTTGCCCTGCCAGCGGTGCATTGTGCAAGAGATGTGACCTGCGTGGCGGGCAAAGTCCTCCAGACCACTCACTCACCACGATGGAGATGGTTTTGTGGACTACATAAAGAATGTGTGTGCTACTATTGCTCCAGAGAAGTTTCCAGGACAGTCAGGGAAAACTCCCCTTCCATCACAGTACAGCATGGCTGAGTTTCACTCCCACAGCTCTCCGTGAGGGAGAAACTCTTGAATTTGCCGCTATTCCCCCTGACTCACCCTGGGAGAGGAAGAAGAGAATCAAGCTGCACATCTCCAGATGAGACAGACTCAAGAGCAAATGGGCAGATTCACACTCTGCTGACAGTGGAGTCATAGCATAAAATGACTCTTTAATAGAGAAATATTTATGAAGCTGGAAGGCCATGGTGGTCTCCTGGCCATGGACACAGAATGACCGCCTCCAGGTGCCTCCTCCAAACTCTCACCCTTTGCAATTTGTGCTCTTCTTTCCTAGTTTTCTTTGGTGCAGCTGAGGCACATCATTGACTCGGTGAGAAATGTCTTTGGATTTCTTTTTAGTGCCAAATCATCCCCATCACCTCATACTCTACCTCTGGGGTGTTTTCATGCCACCTAACTTCAGAAGCTACGAGGCCATTTCTTTCTTGGAAATTTTCATTTTCCTTTTCCTTTCCCTTTCCCTTTCCCTTTCCCTGTC